TTGGTGAGTTAAATTCCTTCTTAATTATTGACATGACTCATATATTTGGTCTCATTTTTGTCTTGTTACATTTATAAGTGTATCACGTTTACTGAATTTTTTATTTGCTCTCTTTCTGTTCTTTTTGGAGGAAGACAATTAGGAAATTCCGACATTTTTGTTCTAAGTAGTCACTTTTATACTGATACAATGCATTAGTTGCCCATTTCCTTACTTAACCCTCTTATTTGATTTTTCAGCTTTTAGTGACATCCTTTATTATTTAGATGGCTGTTTGTGAGTTTATTCTTACTTACTGCTTTTTTCTCTCCTGTTTCCTGCAGTTATTAAATTACATTATTTCTGCTTCATTAGAACATATAGCATTTATGTATTATTCTTCTGTTCTTGTTTTCATCTTTATTTTGGTCTTAAAGGTATTCACTGTTCTGTTTTTCTTCCAGTGTTTCCTGTCAGATCTTGGTTGCTCTAAGTTTCTGCTCTTCTAGAAGGTTTTGCGATTACAGTATTACCTACCTTTGTGAATATCTAAACCTTTTTACATAGCCTTGCTGCTTAAGGGAGTATAAATAAATGATAAAACCCATTGACTCCCACTTTCTTTTCTAAAATATGATGCTCCACTGAGCTTTGCTTTGTTTATTGGTGACGAAGTCTGCGGCCAAACCTACATGATAGTTTTTGTTGAGACATAGGCTTTTTGTCCAGAGAATTTTTCTTCCTTTTAGAAGTTTTATTAATATATGTCTTAGAGAGGACTCTTCCAGCTCAGTCTTTGCAAGTTCATGGTGGTCCTTTTGAATATGTGGATTAGGTCTTTTATCTTTGGGTGGTTTCCTTAGATTGTGCTCTGTGTATGCTTAGTCACTCAGTTGTGTCCAGCTCTTTGCGACCCCATGGACTGCAGTTGCCAGGTTCCTCTGTCCATGGGGATTCTCCAGGCAAGAATACTGGCATGGGTTGCCATGCCTTCCTCTAGGTTATCTTCCCAACCCAAGGTTTGAACCCAGGCCCTCCCACATTGCAGGCAGATTCTTTACTGACTGAGCCACTAGGGAAGCCTTTTCTTAGATGATGTTTTTTAATTTTAGATGCATCCCATTATCTTCTGTTCTTTCTCTTTAAAGACTATAATCATACATAAAATTTTGTTTTAATTTTATTTTTTGTATTTTTGCTCCTACTTCTTTTCTGGGTGATGAAATTACAAGTTTATTTTTTCCATTTACTTTTCTGTATTTTTAAGTTTATTTTTGTATTAAGTATAGTTGATTTACAGTGCTGTATTAATTGCTACTATCCAGCAAAGTGATTCAGTTATATGGGTATAAACATTTTTTATTTCTGTTTTTTTAAGTTTTTAAAATTTATATTTATAAATAAACATATCTATTTATGGAAACATCTTTTCCATTATGGTTTATCACAGAATATTGAATATAGTTCCCTGTGCTGTACAGTAGGACCTTATTGTTACCCATTCTATATATAATAGTTTGCACCTGCTAAACACAAACTCCCACTTCATCCCTGCCCACTCTCCCTCACCCTTGGCAACCACAAGTCTGTTCTCTATGTTGTGAGTCCATTTCTGTTTTGTAGTTATGTTCATTTGCATTATATGTTAGATTCCACATATAGGTGATATTACATGGTATTTGTCTTTCTGTGTCTGACTTACTTCACTTAGTGTGGTAATCTCTAGGTCCATCCATGTTGCTGCAAATGGCACTGTTTCATTCTTTTTTATGGTTGAGTAGTATTCCATCATATACATGCACCACATCTTCTCTATCCATTCATCAGTTGATGAACATTAGGTTGTTTCCATGCCTTAGCACTGCTGTGAGCATAGCAGTGCATGTAGTATCTTTTTGAATTACAGTTTTGTCTGGGTATATGCCCAGCAGTGGGATTGCTGAATCATATGGCAACTCTATTTTTAGCTTTTTGAGAAACCTGCTTAGCTGTTTTCTGTAGTGTCTATACCAACTTATGTTCCCACCAGCAGTCAGAATACCTTTTTAAATCCAGAGTTTACTCATTCTGTTTTCTTGTTCTTTTTTTCCTTAGTCTTTGGTTATTATTTTTGGTGCTGTTATGCCTTTCTTGTTGCCATTTATTAAATTTTCAGTCAAATCTGTTTTCTCTTTGGGCTATTAGTATGTTTGGGCTGCTCTAACAGAACACCATAGACTGGGTGGCTTATGAGCAGAAATTCATTTTCTCACAGTACTGGAGGCTAGTTGTTCAAAATGAAAGTGCCAGCAGCATTCTTTTCTGATGAGGTCTCTTTCCTCAGCTTGCAGACATCACCTTTTCACTGTCCTCAGATGGCCTTTTCTCTGCGGCACATGAAGAGCAAGTGAGCTCTGGTGTCCTTTCCTCTTCTAATAAGGATACCATTTCCATTGGATTTGTGCTCTACTCTTATGAACTCATTTAACCTTAACCAGTTCTAAAAAGTTTTGTCTCCAAGTACAGCCACATTGGGGATTAAGACTTCAACATTTGAATTTGGGAGGGGGAAGTAATTCGGTCTTTTATCAGATTCTTTGCAATTTAACTCCTGAAGTCACTTGGTCTTTTTCACAGTTTTGACTAGCTCTTGCCTCCTTAGTTGCCCATTACTCCAGGTCCGTTCATATGGGTTTCCTAGTAGTCTGACCTTTATCAGAACTGAGATATCATTCCGTATTTTCCCACTTACAATGGAACTTTTTCTTTCTAGGAGTAATTTTAATTGTGGTTCAGTTCAGTCACTAAGTTTTGACCGACTCTTTGCAACCCCATGGACTGCAAAACGCCAGGCTTCCCTGTCCATCACCAACTCCCAGAGCTTGCTCCAACTCATGTGATTGAGTCAGTGATGCCATCCAACCATCTCATCCTCTGTTGTCCTCTTCTCCTCCTGCCTTCAATCTTTCCCAGCATCAGGGTCTTTTCCAATGAGTCAGTTCTTCACATCAGGTGGCCAAAGCATTGGAGTTTCAGCTTCAGCATCAGTCCTTCCAGTGAATATTCAGGACTTATTTCCTTTAGGACTAACTGGTTTGATATCCTTGCAGTCCAAGNGCTTTGGCATAGTCAGTAAAGCAGAAATAGATGTTTTTCTGGAACTCTCTTGCTTTTTTGATGATCCAGCGGATGTTGACAATTTGATCTCTGGCTCCTCTGCCTTTTCTAAACCCAGCTTGAACATCTGGAAGTTCATGGTTCATGTACTGTTGAAGCCTGGCTTGGAGAACTTGGAGCATTACTTTGCTAGCATGAGATGAGTGCAATTGTGCAGTAGTTTGAACATTTCTTTGGCATTGCCTTTCTTTGGGATTAGAATGAAAACTGACCTTTTCCAGTCTTGTGGCCATTCCTGAGTTTTCCAAATTTGCTGGCATGTTGAGTGCAGCACTTTCACAGCATCATGTTTTAGGATTTGAAATAGCTCATCTGGAATTCCATCACCTCCACTATCTTTGTTCATAGTGATGCTTCCTAAGGCCCACTTCACTTTGCACTCCAGGATATGAGGCTCTAGGTGAGTGATCACACCATCATTATCTTTTTTTATATATAGTTCTTTGTATTCTTGCCACCTCTTCTTAATATCTTTTGCTTCTTTTAGGCCCATACCATTTCTGTCCTTTATTGTGCTCATCTTTGCATGAAATGTTCCCTTGGTATCTCTGATTTTCTTGAAGAGATCTCTAGTCTTTCCTATTCTATTGTTTTCCTCTATTTCTTTGCATTGATCACTGAGGAAGGCTTTCTTGTCTCTCTATGCTATTCTTTGGAACTCTGTATTCAAATCCATATATCTTTCTTTTTCTCCTTTGCCTTTTACTTCTCTTCTTTTATCAGCTATTTGTAAGTCCTCTTTAGACAACCATTTTGCCTTTTTGCATTTCTTTTTCTTTGGGATGGTCTTGATCACTGCCTCCTGTACAGTATCACGAACCTATATAGTTCTTCAGACACTCTGTCTACCAGATCTAATCCTTTTAATATATTTGTCACTTCTGCTGTATAATCACAGGGATTTGATTTAGGTCATACCTGAATGGCCTGGTGGTTTTCCCTACTTTTTTCAGTTTAAGTCTGAATTTGGCAGTAGTGAATTCATGATCTGATCCACAGGCACCTTCCAGTCTTGCTTTTGCTGACTGTATAGAGCTTCTCCATCTTTGGCTGCAAAGAATATAGTCAGTCTAATTTTGGTATTGACCATCTGGTGATGTCCATGTGTAGTGTTCTCTTGTGTTGTTGGACAAAGGTGTTTGCTGTTACCCGTGCATTCCCTTGGCAAAATTCTTTTATCCTTTGCCCTGCTTCATTTTGTACTCCAAGGCCAAATTTGCCTGTTACTCCAGGAATCTCTTGATTTCCTACTTTTGCATTCCAGTCCCCTGTAATGAACAGGACATCTTTTTTGGGTGTTAGCTCTAGAATGTCTTGTAGGTCTTCATAGAACTGTTCAACTTCAGCTTCTTCAGCATTACTGATTAGAGCATAGACTTGGATTAATGTGATATTTGTGTTTAATCACCTCTTAAGTTCTCTGTCTCATCATTTACATGTATTTATAACACATGGTAATATGTGATATGCAAAGAGTCAGTCCTCAGCTGACTTTCTGCATACCTATGAAAACTGAAACTCTGTCTGTTTTGTATTTGAATATTTATTTACTTACTTAATGATGATTTAAAGTTAGTAGTATTCTGTAGTTATGCCCAAGTAATGTGTTGCTAGTAATTGTATTTGCTCTCCTTATATTGATCCATAAGTTTTATGGAGAATTCATGGAGAGATTCGGATTTAAAGAGTTGCTCTTATTCCTCAGATATGTCTGAGAAATGTCTTAAAACCAAATGTATGTTTTCTAAGTACAGTTTACTCTTCCTTTTTCAGCTACCAGCAATGTAGGGCATTTGTAGGTAGGTCTCATTCCATAAGAAATGTGTTAATTTTCATATGGTGAGATAAATTTTTCTTGTTTCTAGAAGTCTGCAAAACTGATCGCATGAAAGAAAGGAGCCAAGAAAACCAGCCTAAACACATATGGAAAGTTGTATTGATCAATAACAAAAGTCTGACTAAAGAACAAGGTAATGTACTAGGAAAGTCACTTGAGTTGGACACAAATTCTTTTCCTCACAGAAAAATACTCTGTCATTGTGGCTCATGTGGAATGAGCTTCAACTATATTTCAGAATTGGTTATTGATAAAAACTCTTTAGGAAAAAAGACCAATGAATTTAATGCCTGTGGAAAATTGCTACTCAATATTAAACATGAGAAAACTCATACTAGAGAAAAAAATGAATTTTTTAAAAGTGGAAAAATTGTCAGTCATAATGAGGATTCTGTTCAGCTTGAGAAGATTCAAACTTTAGAGCAAAATTTTGCATATAACATACATCAAGAAACCTTCAATGAAAAGGTAGTATTCAATACATACAAGACAGAGATCACTGAAGAGAATGACTGTGCATATGATGAACATGGGAGAAGATTCTGTGATAGCTCATCCTTCTTGTTCCATCAGATAACTGCCTCAAAGGAAAATCACTATGAATTTGGTGATTGTGGGAAATCCTTATGTGTGAAGTCCTCCCTTTTAAAACATCATGAGGCACATTTGAAACACTGTGAATATGGTGAAATTGGGAATAATTTCAGGAGGAAGTTCTACCTCTCACAGCTTCAGAAAACTCATAAAGGAGAGAAGCACTTTGAATGTAATGAATGTGGCAAAGCTTTTTGGGAGAAGTCACACCTCACTCGACATCAAAGGATTCACACAGGAGAGAAACACTTTCAGTGTAATGAGTGTGGAAAAACTTTCTGGGAGAAATCAAACCTCCCTAAACATCAGAGGTCACACACAGGGGAGAAACCGTATGAATGCAGTGAATGTGGGAAAACCTTCAGCCACAAGTCAGCCCTCACATTACACCAGAGAACACATACGGGCGAGAAACCCTATCAGTGTAATGCATGTGGGAAAACTTTTTATCAGAAGTCAGACCTCACTAAACATCAGAGAACACACACAGGACTAAAACCCTATGAATGTTATGAATGTGGGAAATCTTTCTGTATGAATTCACACCTTACAGTACATCAGAGAACTCATACAGGTGAGAAACCCTTTGAATGTCCTGAGTGTGGGAAGTCTTTCTGTCAGAAGTCACATCTTACACAACATCAGAGAACTCATATAGGAGATAAACCCTATGAATGTAATGCATGTGGGAAAACTTTCTACCACAAGTCAGTACTCACCAGACATCAGATAATTCATACAGGTTTGAAACCTTATGAATGTTATGAATGTGGGAAAACCTTCTGCTTGAAGTCTGACCTCACAGTACATCAGAGAACTCACACAGGGGAGAAACCCTTTGCATGCCCTGAGTGTGGAAAATTTTTCAGCCATAAGTCAACCCTATCTCAACACTATAGAATCCATACAGGGGAGAAACCCTATGAATGTCATGAATGTGGAAAAATCTTCTATAATAAATCATACCTAACTAAACATAATAGAACACATACAGGGGAGAAGCCCTATGAGTGCAACGAATGTGGGAAAACCTTCTGCCAGAAGTCACAGCTCACTCAGCACCAGAGAATTCACATAGGGGAGAAACCCTATGAATGCAGTGAGTGTGGAAAGGCTTTCTGCCATAAGTCAGCTCTAATTGTACATCAGAGAACACATATAGAAGAAAAGCCCTATAAATGTAACGAATGTGGTAAATCTTTTTGTGTGAAGTCAGGACTTACTCTGCATCAGAGGAAGCACACAGGAGAAAAGCCCTATGAATGTAACGAATGTGGGAAATCCTTCAGTCACAAATCATCACTCACTGTACATCACAGGGCTCACACAGGAGAGAAGTCTTGTCAGTGTAATGAATGTGGGAAAATTTTTTACCGTAAATCAGACCTCGCTAAACATCAGAGATCACACACAGGGGAGAAGCCCTATGAATGTAACACATGTCGGAAAACCTTTTCTCAGAAGTCAAACCTTATTGTACATCAGCGAATGCACATAGGAGAAAAACCTTATGATTGAAGTGAATATTAGAAATGTTGAGCCACAATTCAGCACCTACTCTATTTCAGAGAATTCATACTATGGAGAAAGCTCTGTTGACATTATGAATGTTTAGTAACCTTCATCCACACAACTGGCCTTATTTTACTCCAAAGTAATAACATAGGACCAATTTCTAGACTGCAACAAGTATAGGGCAACTTGTTAACAGATAATATTCCACTGAATGTCATGTACTGGCATAAAACCTCACAGATTTTGATTTTGTGAAAGTTCTAACAAAAATACTAGCCTATGTCAGAATTTATATAGGGGAGGAATCTGTCCATTTGAGACTTACGGATTGCAGATTTTGTTTAGAGGTAATGTAACATCAAAAGCTAGAATTTGTGTTTTGGTACGAAACAGCAGATTGTAATTTATAATGCATATTGTGCAATGTAAAGCTTTAAAAACTAAAAAGAATAGTAAAATAGGTTCAAAAGAAGTTGCAGTAGTAGTAGTGCATAGAATTCTGATGTGCCCTTTACAAAGCTTCTTCTAGTAATAGTTACATAACTATAACATACTCTAATCAGTGTTATATAACTGTAACATATTTATAGCCGTAACAGGATGGTACCCTACTACTAAGTCAGATACAGACTTTATTCAGATTTCACTAGTGTTTACATGTGATCTTTGTGTTTGTCTGTGCATTTCTATGAAATTTTGTGGTTTATATATTTGAGTAACCTTCAACACAGGTTGTAAAATCAAAATGGAATCTGGAATCTGTATTACATGAAGATTACAAAGGAATCAGGAATTCACCACAGGAAGTTAATAAATATTATTAATAATAATAACCATAGCCTAATCCTGGCAACGATTTAAATATGAATGTTTTTAAAAGCAGAGATAAATTGAATAATTAGGGCTGAAGCATTAAACACCAGTGAAGCATCCCTTAAGTTCACAGGACTTAGGTATGTACATTACATAAACTATATGTTTCTTAACAAAATGGAACTTAACATAATTGGGAATAGAAAATGGATACTCCTAGTTTAGCAGTTTTTACAATATTAGGCACATCTCCCTTGAATATAATAAGGCCTGGAGCAACAGTTTAAAAGGAAGCCCACGAAGCTCATGTCTAACCTTTTAAAACTTATAAATCAAAATAACTAAATGTTCAATAAAAATGTATTCTCTGCATGGGAATATCTAGGCCCTAGTCCCATTGCCCCTTCTCTTTCACCCATAGCTCATTGCAGACCATGATGTGCCTTGAGTATACATATGTAAATACTCTAGTCTTCAGCCTAAATTTATCCAGACCCTGGGTAAGCAACTGCTTTCCAAGACAGGGTTCAGGAAGGAAGCCTCAGACTAGACGACACTCAGGGCTATGAATTAGGCTGTAAAGTCAAGGGTCTGATGTCCCCTGAGATCTGGGCCTTAATCACTATTGCTTCTCTGGGGAGGAGGACTGAGGCTGGAGCATGACCAGAATGGAACTAGAGCAGTGCTTCTATTGATAGGGTAGAGGTGATATACTAAATTACATGATCAGATTATGTAAACAATTACATTAGGCTAATAACCTAAGATTACATGATCTAGTGATCTTAGATTATACACAGAGTCTAAGCTTCCATTGTGGGAAACTAGAAAAAGAAGAGCAAATTAAGTCCAAGTTATAAAAAAACAAAAGAATAGTGAGAACTTAGGCAGATATCAGAGTAATTGAAAACAGGAAACCAATAGAGAAAAATCAATAAAACCAAAAGCTGGTTCTTAGAGCAGGTCAATAAAATTGATAAATCTCTAGTCAGGTTAGCTAGAGAAAGAGAAGATACAAATTGCTAACATCAGGAATGAAAGGGAGCCATAACTACTGATCCCCTCAGCATCAAAAGGGTATAAAGGAATGTTATGGACAACTCTATACCCACAGATTTGATATCCTAAATGAAATGGGCCAATTCCTTGAAAGAAACAATCTGTCAAAACTCACAGAAGGGTAAATCTAAATAGGCATATGTGTCAAGAAATTGAATCAATTTTTAATCTTCTGAAGCAGAAAGTATTAGGCCCAGATGTTTTTACTGATGAATTCTACCAAATTAAGGGAGAAATAGTATCACTTCTGTAGAGTATCTTACATAATGTAAAAGAAGAGCTTTTACTTATTTTTTGAGGCCAGCATTACCCTAGTTGTAAAGCTAGGGAAAGACATTAGAAGAAAGCCAAGGTACAGACCAGGATCTCATGAATAGATACAGAAATCCTCAACAATATGCTTGCAAATTGAATCCAAAAGTGTATAAAAAGAACTACATGATATGAACAAGTGGGATTTATCCAGGTATCCAACATTTAATAATTAATGTAACCCATCATATCAACAGGCTAAAGAAGAAATATTATATGATCATATCAGTAGATGCAGAAAAACTTTTCAAAAAATCTTAACATCCATTCATGATAAATAAAAAACCCAGTAAGTGAGGAATACAGAAACTTTTTACCAAGTTCCCTCAACTTTTTATAAAAATTTTTATAAAAATCCTACAGCTAACATCATACTTAATGGTGAGAAACTAGATGCTTTTCCATTAAGATAAAGAGCAAGGCAAGGAGGTCCCCTGTAACCATACCTTTTCAGCAACCTTCAGGAAGTCCTAGCTAATGCAGCAAGATAAGTAAGGGAAATAAAAGGTACACAGATTAAAACTATTGATGTTCACAGATAACATGATTGTCTATGTAGAAAATTCCAGAGAATCACAATAGAAAAAATCTTCTGACACTAGAAAGCAGTTACAGAAAGGTTACCGAATATGATGCTTAGGCAGGTGATAAAAAGAAATGAGCTATCAAGTAAGAGATACGGAACCTTAGATGCATGTGGCTAAATGAGACAAGTCTATCTGAAAAGGTTTTATGCTGTATAATTCCAACTGTAATGCACTCTGATAAAGGCAAAACTGTGGAGACACTAAAAAAATCAGTGATTTCCAGGTGGTCAAGGTGAGGGTCAGAGCGATGAATAGGTGGATTACAGACAATTTTTAGAACAGGGAAACCATCCTATAGGATACTATAATGGTGGATACATGTCATTCATTTGTCAAAACCTACAAAGTGTAAAACACACCTACAAAGTGTAAGATACAATGGGTCAACCCTAATGTAAACCATGGACTTGAGTTGTAAAAATGTATCAGTATTGGCTCATCAGTTACAACAAATGTGCCACACTAATGCACCGTATTAATAAGGGAAAAGTGTGGAGGGAGGTAGACGTAAAGGGGTACATAGGAACTTTGTGCTTTCTGCTAATTTTTTCTGTAACCCTAAAACTGCTCAAAAAAATGGAGTGTATTAAATAAACAACCCTTCCACATATTACTTTCTTATATATTTACAGAATTTGAAACTCACATGATTCAGTACCAGTTTTTCCATGGTGGGGGTGGAGTAGGGTAGGGAATGCATTCTTAGAAATCATATATTGTCAACCACTAAGGCATATTTTCAATTACAGCTTTCTGCTTTTCTAAGCCCTATTATCTTCTTTTGAAATTACCTTAAATTACTTACCTCTCATTATAACATCTTACTTCTGCACTGAACATGTTTCTGCCCTACAGCTATAATAATCACTAATGAACATTTGGGTTGTTTTTATAGTCTTCAGAATACTTTAAATTATAGCAACTGTGGCTTGAAATTAAGGCCCAGTGTAATAGAGTCTCTTCACATCTGAAACTAAGATCTCTGATGACCTAACTGCAGATTTCCCTCCCTATTCTCTTCCCCCAGGTCACTGTAGTCAGACAGTCCTCCTTCCTTATCTGGGGGACCAGTTCTTGGTTTTCCCTCAGTGGCAAGTTTCACTTCCCTACCAGCCCACAAAATTATTCTGAAAAACCATTTCCATCTTCTCACAGAAACTTCACTGAACCCTCTGCATACCACAGAGACATTTCCCACAACCCCTGGTTTTCCCTTTGTTCCCGAGCATGAGAACCTGTGTGACCCTGGTTGGTGTGTGGTGTCCTCTCGCCTGGCCTATGAATAGACATAACTAGTGAGCTTATGTAGGTCTCATCTGTCCAGTTTAAGGTGTCACATGTTCCGCTATTGCATCACCCCAGGGCATGAATCCTGCCACCAGCAGAGTGACTGGGAGGCAGGTAGTACAGCTGGGCATGAACAGGATTGTCCATCTAAGACAGGTCACCTGGTCACTTTGCTAATTGCTCTTGTCTGACAGGTTCTGTGATGTGGCAGAGGCTGCTTGGGATGGAACCACCAACTGCTGGCAGGCTTACACTTTGGCCTGCTCTGCTCTGTGTTGTTTTTTGGATGTTGCTATCTCTTCCCACTCTAAGAGGCTCTTGTCCCTAAGAGAATTGTTCATTGGCTCTGCTCCCAGGGTGACTTGCCATGGGGTTCAGTCTGTTTGGCAGGTGGTGTCTGAGCTACCTGTGAGGCCGGCTGCTGGACTGTGGTACTTTCCCTTGTGACTACCCAGAATGTCCACATCATGGGTGATGTACATGGCTAGAAGTCCAGAATAACTGAGGAAATTTGTATGAGAGAAATAAGAGAGAAAGAAACCTGCATGGCAAAAAAAAAAAGACAGCCATAGCAGACAGAGGATGTTAAGTCAGCCAATCTCTCTGGGTTATGGGCCCAGCATGCTTTTGCTGCACCACCTGTTTAAAAGGTTCTGTGCTCATGGTTAGAGTACAAAACTCCTATCCTGAGGTGCAGCAAAGAGGTTAATTCAAATGCAGCTTAGGCCTGGGATCCTTGCACCATGTGAAGCAACCATTGCCATGGAGCAGGCCCCAACCCTTTCCTGAAGAGAGACATTTATAGATTTGATCAGAGTAAAGAGAACCCTCCTGAAGTGCAGCAAGGAACCACGGAAAGGAGATAAGTGGAACGGAAGGATGCAGGGAGGGAGGCAGAGACTTAGATACAAGGAGAGTAAACAACAAGATAACTGAAATGTAGTTC